CTGCCGCGCCCCGGCCGCGGCGCCTGGCCCGGGTTGCGCGCCGCTGGGGCGCGGGCGGGGTCGGGGCTTGTGGGGCTGCCGCTGCTCGCCTGCCGCGCGTCGGCGTCCCGGGCCCGGCGGCCGGCGAGCATGGAGGAGAAGTACCTGCCGGAGCTGATGGCGGAGAAGGACTCCCTGGACCCCTCCTTCACGCACGCTCTGCGGCTGGTGAACCAAGGTGAGAGCGCTCGCCGGCCGGCCGTTAACTGTCGCCGGCGGCCGTTGGGACCGGGGGAGTGGCGGCCGGCGGCCTGGGGACAGGGGAGGGTCGGGAGCGGATAGAAATGCGGGGCGCTTGGGAGGCGGACCTGTGGGGTTGGCTGGAAATAGACCCGGGGAGGCGGGCGGGGATCCAGGTAGCAATCTGGGGGCATTTGGGTGGGGACCTGGGAGAACGTGGGATACCGGCGCGGGGGAGGAGATATGCCTTTGGGAGGCTTGGCAGGGGGGCAGAAGGCTGGATGTGACTTGAAGATCTTTGGGGACTCGAGGATACCCGAGGGAAACTTGTGGGTGGGGGACGGCGAACATCTGGGGGATATGGCGGGGCGGGGGTTGAATGATCTCATTGGAGGGGAGTTTGTGAGGGACTCAGGGATCCTAGTGTGTTTGGTTTGTTCAGGGAACTGGAGAAAGAGCTGGAGCAAAATGGAAGGATCTGAGGAGATGAAATACACACGAGGTGAAGGGAACAGGTGCTTGCATTGTTAGTAAAGTTTGAGGACCTTGGGGGAGGTTTGGGGTCAGACCCTGAGCATTTCAGAGGAGAGGGACCCGGCGGTCCTAGTGACAGAGCCCAGTTCCTCTTCTCTCCCTCTTGTTCTTCCATGCCAAGGCTCTAGCCACCCTTGTAGGGTGGTCTGCCCTCCCTGGGGGTGGGCAGCTCCAGCCAAGGCTTGCAAGCTGGCCCTTGGAGGGGTTGGTAGGGGAGAAGAGGCCCACGCAGTTGCGTCCTTCCTGGCTTGCCTGTCTTCTCTTTGGGAAGCTCTGGGTGGGTCACTCTCACTGGGGGCTGGCTAGGGGTTGGGAAGACTGGGCAAGGAGTCTTTGCTGCCTATGCCTTTCAGCACTGCTTCAGCCAGTTCAGGGTGTGAACAGTCCTGGGAAGTACAGGGCACAGGGATACAGGGACATATGGAGGCGTGCCTACCTAGGACCGTATTTCCTAGCGTCTTCTTCCTCCAGCTTCATGAGTAATCTGGGATGGACGGTAAATCAAGCCTGCATTCCCAGGAGCAGTCCTCAGTTCCTTCCGTATCTGTTAATCTGTGTTTCAGATAAAGATGGATTTGGGGGCCACTGGTCTGCTTTTTCCCTGGGTGATGGCAGAAGCATTATCTGGTCAGATCTGTTACCTTTTGCATGAATCAATCTGTGCAGTGACAGTTTGTGGCCCCCGAGTTAAATCGGGTCTGCTGATCTTAATGCTGGCCCTGGCTCCTTTATTGTTGGAAGTGAAAGATGAGGCAGACATATTCTATTTGTATATAGATGTCTATATTTTAAAATAGCAACCTCCAGCATTTGCCTATTTCAACCAGTTCTTCAGAGTAGGGTGTTGTCGACTGATGGTGGTAGTGGAGAGACTCACTATCTCCAAGAATTTAAGCATGAATGCTGTTTGAATGGTTGAATAGAAATCGGTTTACAGAGCTCTCCCATTTTAATTGCAAGCTTATTTTTATTTCTTTAATAAAGTGGGCTTGTGAAAAAGTGATGGGCTTACATTCTTAAATTAGAGAAAAAGAATTTTCAGCTTTATTCCCATGCTCTTCTGAACTGTTCTGCAGTTAGGCTTGTACTCCTTGCTCTTTATGATTTACATATATCTTTTGTTGCCTGCTGGGCTGTCATTTCTGTAAAAGAAATTTCTTTGTACATTGTGTGAGATCAGTGGCATTAGAAATATCCTAGATTGTGGAATCAAGTGCATTTTTTCTTTTAATAAAGAAGCTGACAAAGTTATGTTGTACTCAGTTAAGGAAACAGATTAACTAAAAGTGTAATGAGTTACCTTATTTTGAAAGTTAGATTTTTTTTCTCTGTGTCATGTTGTTATAGTACCGTGTTGCTAATACATTCAAAATTCTCTCGGTTTCTGTTTCTACTGGTGGCAATGGCCTCTAGTTACTTGAAACAGATATTGGACAATATTGCCATGTAGCATTTTTTTTTAGATGTTAAATCTGATTACCTTACTTTCCCATAAAAAGTGTAATTTGGGTAAGAAGTACATTTTTCACATTGAACAATTATGTGAAAGAAGGAAAGGGTGCTACTGAGGTGCTCTTATTACTGTTAATTTAGATTACTTCAGACAGACATGTTTCCCCTTAAGTCATAAGGTGATATCCAGAAAGCAAAGCCCTATCATTTAAAATATTAATCATGCTCATTTATGTAACTCCAGAGTTACCAGTGCATTTCTAAAATAGTATCTTAAATCTGAATTTGAATGGTTATTAGAAAACTTTGATTTTGAATCTGACAAGTGTCTTGTTATTGGCTACAGAAAAGTATTTTTATTCTTACTTAGCTACATTTTTGACTCTTTGCCTCGAAAAAAACTATTTTTTTCGGAGTTTATTCTGAATTTCAATACTGGCGTTAGTGTTCCGACAGTAACTTGTGAAGTGACAATGGTCAGCAGTGAACGTGATACCTCATGTTTGTGTGGAGTGTGTTCAAGTTTCCAAGGCTCTTAACGGTACGTGATGTCCAGTTCTTGGACTCTTGTGAGGTCGACACTGATGTCTCCATTTTTCTGGGGAGGCAGCTGAGGAACCCAGCTATGCGAGCTTGTGGGCAACTGAGATTTAATTTGAAGTCAGGTCTTCTGTCTCCGAAAGCCATTATTCTTGCCACTTATGCCTTCCCGCAAAGATGGAATAAAATACTTTGCACATGCTAATTTAAAACCCTTCAGAAATCTATATCATTAATATGCTTGTTTCTGGTTGACTTATCTTGATTTTCTAAAAAAGTGTCTTTCTATTCTTATCTAGTGGTCTTTTTGAAGAAACAAACATTGGTAGATTTATCCTACAGGATTTTAATGCTCCGGCTAAGAGGCACTTTTGAATTAAAGCCCTCCTGTGACCAGTTTATTACTTTCATAATCAACACATTATGATAATGAAACAGTTTATAAATGAGATGTTGCCGTTTTTTAAAAATTCAGTAGTCGTAAACATTGATCAGCCTCCTAGCTGAATTATATTTTTTCTAATAATCTTTGGTAAGAACTTGAGCTGGGATGACATAAGATATATGCTCCTGTGCTAATACAGTTCGGCTTTTATACTTTTCCCAGGCTTGTGTTTCATGATGGGCATTAGTTGCTGACTTTTTATTTTCTCAGGCTAACTGGCTCCCCTCCCCCCTAAATACTGAGTACTTTTGTTTCTCTACCAAATGTAACAGTTAATGTTTACTTAATGTTCAACCTGAATCAAAGAAAATAGGCTTTGGTATCACCCCCTTCCCTCACTTCCATGCCTATAGAGAATTGACATTGCTGTTTCTTGCCAAGGAGGTTTAATTGGAGATGAAAGTAGCGTCCCATGTTTTGTATTATATTTGCTAGTAGGGGATGCGCTGACTCTTATGAAAAACATCTTTAGAAATGTCTTATGCATTATATTTAACCCAGCTCTCTGGTACTGCTTTGGATGTTTTTCAGTCCAAGCCAAGTAACCATTAAATAAGATTATATAACCCTGTATTTTTAATTATCTGATATAATATATGGATTGGTGGCTGGTTCACTGCCAAGTTATATTTAGTGGTTGGTTACAAGAGGAAGTGGAGCAAAGGATTCAAGATTAAGGTGGTCTTTTTGTGTCCAGGTTGATAAAGTTCTCTGATGGTATTTCAAAATAATAATTTCTCATCTTACATCAATTTCTCTAACATCAGTACTCTTAGCATTACTTAGGATATATGTGAGGGGTAAAAATGTGTAAAGGGAGGATCATTACTTAGCCCGATGTGCCGTGTCTCTTTTTCAACAAAACCTGACGGCTTAATGTTTGATTTTTGGTGACCCCCTTTTGGAAAATGTTTGTGATTTGCTTGACTGTTGTCAGACATGTGGAGTAAGAGAGATGAATGAGAATGGAAATTACAGAATTATATTTAGATGTAGAGTGTGATTCTCTGTTTCATCCAAAGGAGGCTGTGGTTTTTTAGTTTTCAATTGTTTTTCTTAGGGTTTTCCAAATGTTTGATTGTTTTTTGTAAGAAAATGGATGGGATGCCATTTCTGAGTTTCCTGTAGCGTGCTGTGATTCCAGGTGATCCAGTGATTGTGAGTCACAATGTTTTGGTATCTGGTCATTACTGACATGTTGCTTGAGAAGCTGCCGTGCCAGGCCCTGGGGCTGAGTCCTGGAGGGAAGTCCAGGGAAGAATGCAGACTCCACTCCTGAGAAATGAGTGTTCTCACATGTGTGAATTTGAGAGTGAGTGTCAAGCTTGTAGATGCCCTTTTTGTTCCTAAGGAAGGTCCTCACCTATCCTTCAACTGTCCTTTTGAAGTGCTGAGTGACTAGATGGTTTAACTTGGTCAGCCTAGGGACATTTTTGAGGTTCTTCTCTGTGCCGAGTCATGTCTGTAATCTGAATACTGTAACAGCCCAGAAATGTAGAGGTTATTAGCCCAATTTTTCAGTTGTAGAAACTGAGACTCCAACAACTAAAGTGACTTACCCAAGGTGATTTACTTGCAGACTGTCCCAGTGAGGGTGCAAGCTTTGTTCTTCTTTCCTGAACCACACTGGCCTGCAGAGGGAGAAGGTCCAGCTGGGCTGGCAGTTCATGGCTGGGCTGGGCTTGAAAGGCAAGTTATATGGCATCCCTTTTTATACCTCACCCTTGGAATTTCTGCTCTAAGGGATCTCCTGTGATCACTTCCTTATCCCCAAATGGATTTAGATGGCCCATTTTTTTTCCCCAAAGCGGCCGGTGCTTACCTCTCTGATGGTGTGGTTGTCCTTACACTACGTTATTTGGACCTCTGTCTTCCATGGGAGAGTGTCAGTTTCTGGGCGGCCGGCCTGGGCTTCCATGGCTTGGTCTTGAGCACCTCGTGGAGCTCTTGCAGCCTTCCACTCCTGTCTTCATTTCAGTGTTGTGTTGTAATTTTCATGGAGGTGGAAAACTCAGAGTGTTGTCACT